ATACTGGGGCACCTGGGTGACTCAGTCAGTTAAGTGTCCGACTTTAACTCAGGTCATGATCTCACAGTTCGTGACTTCGAGCCCCGCACTGGGCTCTGTGCTGACAGCTCGGAGCCTGGAACCTGCTTCAGATTCTGTGTCTCCCTCTCTGTTCCTTCCCCACTCACTCTCTCTCTCTCTCAAAAACAAATAAAGATTACACTGTCTCTCTCTCTCAAAAATAAAGATTAAAATAAATTAAAATAAATAAGTAAAAATGAAGATAGAATTTCCATGGTTGGCTAAGAGTATTTAAAACCATTTTGGGGGAAATATGAATTACTAGAAGCCTACTGATGCTATCAACCATAAAACAAAAGAGGGGTAGAATGCATGCTGTGGAGTAAGTCATAATTATAGATATGGATTAGCATTTCTGCTCAAACAATGAAAACAACTGACTTCTTAAATTTAAAAACTACAACCTTTGTGATATAACCACTTTTAAAGGATTTGTACATTCACTGAGTGAGACTTCGTTACAAACAGATACTAATATTTCTCCAACAGAATCGTCCCTGGTGAAGAAATGGGACCTATTTCAGGTAGAGTGTAAGTTTTATGAAGCTGGGGACTAAGTCCATGTTCCTCAGTGCTCTATCCTAATGAACAGAAGGCCTGGCCCAGGCAAGGTGTTCAAAACAGCTTCTGATCACATAAATAAACATAAAATAACTTTCATTAAGTGCTGGACACTTGCACTAGAACACAACATCGCAGTGAGCATCGCAGTCCTGGGGACCAGATTAATTTAACTCTGAAAGGATCCAGAAGAAAGATTTCCTAGAACAAAACTGCCCCAACAAACAGAAACCATTTAGTAAGGCGCCGCTCTGCTCCAAGCTACAGATGTTCTGTAACCCCAGCACAGGCCCATGAGAACGTTGTAAAGAAATAGTATACTTCGGACTTAATTTTCTAAAAGGTAGAACTCAAGCAACTTCGAATGTATCCTCATAGGAAAGCTGAACATTTGAAACCTAAACCCTGCTTTCATCATGCAGCTGTGACTGTCATATTTGGTTCTGATGAAGTCTCCCATCAGAAGCCACCGTAGACATTCCCACAAGGACATCGTGCAATCCGACCAGCCAACCAAACAAAATGTGGTCTCCCGGATCTCCCTGTAGTTTGGTAATAAAGAAAAGGGAGATTAAGCCAAAGATGTCCCCCCCTCTGAGCCATCGTGTCTCTGCAGACTTTCTGGATAAATGTGGCCCAGCTGTCTCACTGACCTCCCAGGACACTGGTACTTCCCGCTTCCAAATGCCATGAACCCGTCCAAGAAAGCATTCTTCTCTAAATTTGCCTTTTTCCAACGTTCCTGTGGGAAGAAATCATTTTTTTTTTCCAAATCAGTCTTATATAAATAAGCTTAACTTTATTTCTCTAGGCTAAAAATGACTTTGTACAGCTAATCCTTGCATATAAAGTTGCAGGGCTGTTGGTAATTTTTTTTCCAACCTGTTATTCATATCAGGCACAATTGTGTTTTTGGAATGTGAACTAATAAATAAAAAGGTTTAAAAAGAATTTTGTTAAGTGGTAAACGTAAATGATAATGTAAATCAACCACAGAACTGACTTCAGAAAAGGAAGACTATTTATAATAAGATCTCAGGCTCCATCACAAAATTGTCCTTGGTAATAAATCTAGTAAGTTACTGGCCGCCCTGCCTATTGGAAGGAGCTTGGGATGTGGAATGAATACATCTGGATGCCATTTTTTTTTAATTTGTACCTAAAGACAGAGGATGGACTAAATCACCTCTTAAGATTCTGCTTAGCCTTGTAACCCCCCAATTTTAAGAAACAGCAGAGAACAGCTTTAATTTGTCTTGTTTCGTTTGTTTTTAGTACTCCTTGGAAACTAACAACAGGAGCAATTGCCTGATGAATATAAAATAAGTCTTCTTTCAGAACCAGACATATTCACTTTAACATACTTTGCTGGTTTCAGATCATTTATTTTCGAGTTGGTGAAGCTTATTTCAAAAACCTTGCTATCTCATCTGTGTTATACCCATCCATATTACAAGTCTGATTTTTACTCTGTTGTCGACTTGGTTAGACCACAGAGAGAAATAGGTCTGCTAAAATGACACAATTCTAGTTGATCTATGAATTCATATTCCCACCATAAAGGAAATTAAAATCAAAGGGTAATGCATTTTGAAAGAGAGGACTTACAGGTTTGAACACTTCAGGTTCAGGAAAATATTTCGGATTTCTGTGCAGCCAAAATGGAGACACCATCAACAAGTCACCGGAAGGAACAGTGTAATTCTATGATAGAAAAATCAGTTTCAAGTTATTTTTGGAAATCTGCTTTAAAGAGAGTTTGGGTCATTAAAAATAATGCTCCAACTATATTGTAGAGAAGACATATACATTTTACAAATCAATGGCGAGAAAATCTAATTCTTTCCTGGAAGGATCGTTTCTGTTTTCCAACTTAAGCAATGACTACATTCTAATTCTGATGATTAGTTACATGTGCATACACATTTGGTTACATGGGGGAAATATATTAGATAAATGTGAAGATTTTAGATACTAGTATATGTCTGATGTAATGCAGCTTTGGATGTTTGATACTGGGGTTGGTAGCAAGTGCTTTTGATGGGAACTACAGTGAATCCCCAGGTCGTGGAATAGAAAAATCTAACTCTGAGACAGGACAGTGGCCATAACAGCACTGAGGGTGGGAACAGTGGGTGTCTCCTATCCCCGGGGACATTGATGACAGTGTCAGGGCAGAGGCAGTGGAGTCTCTCTCTCTCTCTCTCTCTCTCTCTCTCTCTCTCTCTTTCTCTCTTTTTCCACTCCAGAAACAGCTATTAGGGCAGAAATAATATGAAGACTACGAAGACAACTGGTTAGGAAGACATGGGACACTGAGTGCTATGTGTTTCTTGGTTGGTTTGGTGTTTGGGAACGCTGTGGCTGTGGGACTGAGGTTAAGCAGTGTGTTTCTGAATTATCCTTCCCCGTTTATGTTATCATAGGTTTTCTAATATATAAACTATACTAAGAACTAAAAACCATGTCATAAAATCACCCTGACTTCATCATGTTCAGGAACCATAGGACAAAGGGCTCTCCCATGGTGTGTAACCAGTAGATAGCTATCAACTTTCCTAAGGCACATTCTGTTAGTAACTCCCATCCCCAATCATTGGAAGTCATATATATTTAACCCTGCATAAGTTTGAAATGTCCTCAAGATATTCACAAAAACACTTACCTTCTGCTTCTAGAATATGAGCACGTTACAATTACAAATATGTCTTTTCATAGTAGCAGGGAGTGGCATATGGGAATGGGCCATCATTTTTTAACCAGAGAGAAACCCTGTTAGCTCCAATGGGGACTGAATATTGCTTAAGGTTTGGCCGCGGCCGTACTAAGTGCTGAGAGAGCTCCCAAACAAGGAAGAGAGGGGGGATTTCGCTGGTGTCCTCTTACCATTTTTAAGGTAGAAAAGGACTTAGGAGATCTCAAGCCTATCTGTTCCTTCTACCTCTGGCGGAACTGAGGTTAGAGTGGTCATGCCTGACCTTGAGATCAGCTGCAGAGGGCCTTGATGCGTGTTTGGGGGCAGGACCAGGGACAGCCCCGGGACAGGGCTCCAGGCGGGTCAACTGGTGCCCTTCCCCTCCTTACCGCATACACCTCTTTAGTGGCTGGCTGCTGACCCATGACTGTGACTTGGAGACTGACTGCCACAGCCTACAACACAGGCCAGTAGAAGCCTTCAAATGGAATCTCAGTCACAGAATTAACATTAGCAACAGGGAGGAGACCAGAAAGGAGCTCCTGTCACAGCAGCAAATGCCAGGCTGATGAATGGCATAAAGGAATGTGAGAGCCGGTTGAACCTCTGAGCAAAAGGACATCATCGTCCCATCTAACAGTCGCTGTCATCGTCTACATGGCACATGAAGGGAAAGACCAAAAGGGAGACGAAACAGTCCTAGGACCAGAACACAGATCGCCATCAAAATCACAGCTTCTCTGTGTTGTAAAACTGCGTCTCTCAGGTAGGCAGCATTGAGCCTGGCCAGCCCCCTTCATAGGGATCCTGTGAGGCCCAGTGAGCTTAATTTGCTAGTGTGGAGATGGGGTCTTCTTAAAGAGGGAAGAGAAGGCAGCACTCTTTGTTGTAGCTCAAGAAGGATACTGAGAGCAAAGTGGTTGCAAAGAATGTAGAATTTTGAAGAGAAAGCAGCAGTCCTATAGAAAGGCAAAACATCCATAGGAGGGGACTCGAGGCACATACTTTCTTAGCTCTTAACCAGGAACATGATTACGTTGCAAAAAAAAAAAAAAAAAAAAAAAAAAAAAAAAAAAAAAAAAAAAAAAAAAAAAAAAAAGGCTAAAAATCAAAAAGTACACTCTTTTGCATGATAAAAAATGTTCTCTATCCAAATTTTGGAAAATTCAGAAAAATAGAAAAAGCTAAAAAACAACCAGAAAGCTGACAACAAAAAAACACCCATCAACCGGCTAGACTTCCCTCCAGTACTTTTACCGAACAGTTGAGTGTTGTTGTTGTTGTTGTTGTTGTTGTTGTTGTTAAACATAGTCTTTATCCTGATGAATAGTTAATTTTGGAAACTTAACGTTGTTCACCTAATATTATAGCATAAGTATTTTTTCTTTATATTGTGGACTCATTGTGAACAGTTTTGTCTCCAATGTCTCTTTAATCTTTCATTGGGCAGATTAATCATAAATAATTTAGTCATTCCCTGGGTTTTCTTTCTATAATAAATAATGCCATCAAAAGCATCTTCTTCCATGAAGCATTTTTTCACATAAAATCTTTTAACATAGATGTTCAGAAAATATAGGGCATGGACATTTTTAAAGGCTGTTAATACATTTTGCTCAACTGTTCCCTCAAATCTGGTAGCTAAATAGGTTTCTACCTATAATATTTTAGTGTCAATTTCACTGCCCTCTTCCCTGCTAATCTGACATTTAATAGGTTATTTTTGGTTCCTGTATAAATCTTTATGTCTTTGTTGAGCATTTTTCCATGTTAAGTTATTTTCTTCTATGAACTTTTGTGTTCATGTTCTGTCCTCATTAATTTATGCAATATTACTGCTTTATTTATTGATCTGTGAGTTCTTTAAATATTAACATCATTTACCCCTGTGTTATACTTACATTAACATTTGTTCTTAATTTTTGGTTTACATTTAATTTGGATTATACTTAAAAAAAATACATGCTAAATTTTGACGTGATACATTTAAATCTGTTCATCTTTGTGGTTTCATTGATGAATCAATCCCAAGATTTGGCAGCCCTTTTTTCTCTAAAATAGTGGTTCTCAAGGGTGGTCTAGAACCTTCTGGGAGTTCTTAAGACCTTTCCAGAGGCTGTGCTAGGTCAAAAATCATGCCTGGGTACAAGATTCAAAGTATAGGACAAACCAGTGGATTTTGACATAACTGAATACAATAAATTCATTGATTGATATTTCAGATTATAACAAACTTTTAGGAAACTCCCACTGTTGCATTTCAATGAGGTATTAGAAAGCAGACATATCTGAAAAAGTTATTGAAATATTGATTCCTTTTCCAGTGACATGTCTGTGTGAGGCTGAATTTTCTTCATTTCCATCAATGGAAAGAATATATCACAACAGATTGATTCCAGACACATTTATGGGAAGCCAGATGTCCTCTATTAGCAAGGCATTAGACAGATTTGCAAAATCTTAAAATAATGCTATTCTCCCACATTTTTTATGTTTTGGAAAATATAGTTATGTTTCATAAAACCATGCTATTATTTTAACATGTAGTAGGTTTCTTGTTATTTTTAAATTAATTAGCAAATAAATATTATACCAATTTCTCAGTTTTAGTTTCTAATACAGCAAATATTTTTTAATTTTTTTAATGTTTATTTTTGAGAGACAGAGATAAAGCACAAGTGGGAGAGGGGCAGAGAGACAGGGAGACACAGAATCCGAAGCAGGCTCCAGGCTCTAAGCTGTCAGCGCAGAGCGTGATGTGGAGCTTGAACTCACAAACCGTGAGATCATGACCTGAGCCGAAGTCGGATGCGTAACCAACTGAGCCAACCCGGTGCCCCTCTAATACATTAAATATTGATAGATATGACTAACATAGGTAAAAGTCTTTGGGGTCTCTAATAATGCTAAGAGGATAGGGGCACCTGGGTGGCTCAGTGGGTTGAGCGTCCAACTTCAGCTCAGGTCATGATCTCACGGTTTGTGGGTTCCAGCCCCATGTCAGGTCTGTGCTGACAGCTCAGAGCCTGGAGGCTGCTTTGGATTCTGTGTCTCCCTCTCTCTCTGCCCCTCCCCTGCTGGTCTCTCTGTCTCTCAAAAAATAAATAAACATAAAAAAAAAAAAAAACCAATAATGCTAAGAGTATAAAGGGATCCTGAGAACAAAAAGTTTGAGAACTACTCTAAAAGTTAAAAAATACCCACTTTCTGGCCAGTCATCCCAAACCATATGTTAATCTCTTCCCTCTTCATTGATTTACAATTCACTTATTCTATATTATACTCTTGGATACAAAGGGACTTGTTTCTATGTTACCTATCCAGCCTGTTATATTGATAGTGAACATTAAGTCTGACACCACTATCATACCATTTTAACCGTCGTGGTTTTATAATATGTTTCAATACCTCAAGAAGATAATTAGTATTCTTTAATCATTCATATTTTCTAACACTTCCTTGTTCATTCTTTTCCTGGGTATTCTTGAAGATTACCTGCGTACCAAAAGTATGAAACCTTAAAAACAGAGTACAGGTAGAAGTTTAAGAGTTTTGTAAAGATGATATAAGAAAGGGGGCGCCTGGGTGGCGCAGTCGGTTAAGCGTCCGACTTCAGCCAGGTCACGATCTCGCGGTCTGTGAGTTCGAGCCCTGCGTCAGGCTCTGGGCTGATGGCTCGGAGCCTGGAGCCTGTTTCTGATTCTGTGTCTCCCTCTCTCTCTGCCCCTCCCCCGTTCATGCTGTGTCTCTCTCTGTCCCAAAAAAAAAAAAATAAATAAAAAAAAATAAGATGATATAAGAAAGAAAAGGAAGGAAAAAAAGAAAAGAAGGAATAAATCAAAGAAAGCAGATGGTGTATGCCCATCTTAATTTGTCCCAAAAATATAGGAAGGAATCAGTACAGGGACATAAAGAAAGGAGACCATGTTCAGACTGCATTAGGAAAGAGTCGTAGGAGAGCACTTCAAGCATTCACAGCAAGAAATGTGACCAGTTGCCCCACAGGGAA